AATTTGAATTTATATCACTGACACTGAGTCTCAAAGTATTTTCCAGATTATCGTCTGTTAACCTCGTGCTTATTTCAGTTTTAATTTTCATAAAAGACATTGCACAAATCCCCGTTCGTCTAGTTAGGCACCACATCCAGTCTCCTCCGCGGGCTGGATTAAAACCGGTCGCGGGCCGGATTCGGCCTGCGGTCCGCCAGTTACCCATAAATAATTAGGCACAGAACCAAAAAGCCAGAATCTCTCGCCCTTTCTCCTCCAGAATCCACTCTGCATATGCTACAGATTTAGCGCATATCTTTTTAGATCTGCTGCTGCTCACTTTTACGGTTCTGTAAATGGAGAAATTTAGACAAAAAAAAAAAAATCTTTATACGGTTGATGGTTGGACATGGTAGTCTGCGCTGGCACTGCTTTGGTTAGAGGGACCCTAAAACCAGCGTGCTTGTCGAACGCTGTGATTGCAAGTAAACCCGCACCAGCACCAACTGTGTATGTCACACATAACACATACATTACGAATAACATGTTTATGCAAATGCAGTAATTGGCCAACGTACGGGCTGCCCGTGCGAAGATGCGTTTTTTGCATAGCTCCCCACAGTTTTTGTCGCTACCGGCATCGGTTTTTCTGACAAGTGCTTATAGCTAAACAAAATTAAGACTGGCCGCCAGAACTGGCAGGAAACACCCCTTAAAATTTCACCTTTCTAGCTTTCCTGGCTTCTGAGTTAGCAACTTACTGGAAGAAAATTTTCATGGACCCGCACGTGGGTATCACGCATACCCGATGTCTGGGTTTGAGTTCGTTGAGACTTACCTGGACGGGGTACATCCTCTCTTGAAACTACAGTCTTCTAGCTTTTCAGGTTCTTGAGTTAGCAACTTAATGGAGAACTTTGGTGAGCCCGAGCGTACCGGAGGCTGAGTTTGAGCTCATTAATATCTACTTAGACTGGGGACATCCTCTTAAGATTTCAGCTTTCTAGCTTCTCAGATTCCCGAGTTATCAACTTACACGAGTAAAATTTTGGTGGGCCCTTACGCGGGAATCACGCTTACCCGGGGGCTGGGTTTGAGCTCATTAATACCTACTTGGATGGGGAACATCACCTTAAAATTTTAGCCTTCAAGCATTTCTGGTTCCCGAATTAGCAGCTTACCCGTAAAAAACTTTGGCGGGCTTTTGTGTGAGTACCACGCGGGTAAGGCCGTCCGTTTCGGGGATAGGGATCCGTACGTGCATGTAGATTAAATCCCCAAGTTCCAGCCTTGTAGCTTTTGTAGGTCTCGAGATGAAAAATCGGTAAAGAGGCCCTGCGCATACACAGACAACCTCTCGTCAGTATGCGTTTTTCGTATTGCATAGCTGCAAACTCAGGCTGGAACGCACCAGGTGGGCCGGTGCGATCATGCGTTTTTGTACTTTTCGGCTGTTGCAAGGAAACGCAGTAACTAGCTCTGTGACATACTGGCCCTCGAAGTTCGGGAAGTTAATTTTGCAGCTGTGTGGCATGTCAGTTGTAGATTTCGACTTCAGTGACCCGACAAATACAAAGTTGTTGGTCCGCTAAAAAGGCCCTACTAGAAGAGTTAAGTACGAAATTTTTTAGTCGCAAATGAGTATGGAACATTCCCTTAAAATTAAAGCTTTCCAGCTTTTCTCGTTTCTGAGTTAGCGGTTTTCACATCAAAATCTTCACGTACCCGTACGTTAGTACTGCACGGCTTCAAGGAGCTGAATTTAAAATCTTTTGGTCATACATGGGTAGGGAACATTCTCCCACGGTTTCAGCTTTCTAGCTTTTCTCGTTTCCGAGTTTGTGATTTTCACGCCAAAACTTTTACATGCTCATACGCGGGGCCCAGACGTGCATGAGGGTTAGAACTGCAGTCCTGGGGTGGTACCTGGCTGGGGAACACACTGGTAAAATTTCAGCTTCAGAGCTTGAGTGGTTAGCGAGTTGAAATACCCGCGAACACGCACACACACACGCATACACACTGACAGATCTTTGCATTATGCGTTTTTGCTGCCTGTTGCAGCGCTCTAGCGTCGCACGGCAAAAACGCATAAAAGCTCATATTGGCAAAAAGCTGTCTGCGTGTGTGTGTCCGTGTCTATGTGTTCGAACTTTCTGTCACCCACTTTCAACTTGAGAACCAGAAAAGCTAGAGAGCTGAAACTTTAGGAGTATGCGCCCACACCATGTGCGACCGTCCGGTTTTAATATCATCATCCGCATGCGCTTGGGTTCCACGTACGGACGCCTTAAAAAATATGCAAATTTTTGTGCGTTTTGTGCTGTGTAATAGTAGTACAAAACGCATATTGTCACGGGATTGTCTGTGTGTGTGTTCGCAGCAACTTGTCCGCAACTTTCAACTCGGGAACCACAAAAGCTAGAAGGCTGAAAATTTAGGGTAACGTTCCCCACCCACGTGTGACCCCGCAAATTTAAATTCAGCTTCCCCGTACCCACGGGTAACGCGTACGGCCCCCTGAAAGTTTTTCACCGGGAAGTAAATATCTCGGGAACCACGGGCGGGTAACGCGTGCGGCCCTGTGAAAATTTTTTACGGGTAAGTTAATATCTTGGGAACCACGGAGTCTAGGTCAACGGTACGGCCCTGTGATCTTTTCACGGGCAAGTTAATATTTCGGGAATCACAGAGCCTAGGAGATGAAATTTTAGGGTAATGATCCTCTGCCCACGCTCAACCTTGCCCATTCAAATTCAGCCTTCCCTTACCCGCGGGTAACATTTACGGCCCCGTGAAAGTTTTTCACGGGTAAGTTAACGTCTCGGGAACCACGGAGTCTAGGAGGCTGAAATTTTAAGAGAATGACCTCCTGCCCCCGCTTAAGCTTGACCATTCAAATTTAGCGTTCTCGCGCTCTCGGGTACCACCTACGGCCTCGTGAAAATTTTAGCGGGTAAACTATTAACTCGGTAATCACGGAAAGATGTTCATCCTTCAAGTTTTCGAATTCAGCTTTCATGCGCTGGTGCGTGAAATTTTTAACTGTTTTCCA